TTGCTCACATTTCTAGCTGGGCCTGCTACTGCACCAGGTGGCCTGAGCTGAGGGGTCTCCAACCTGGTCTCCCAGGGGTGGAAGAGCCAGTAGTTTCCAAGCCATGAGCCAAGTACATTGGTTACTTGGAGAATGCTGGTGACACTAAAGACAAGCTTATGAGAATGGCTGCCATAAGCAAAATGACCACATTTATTTGTTGATCGTATTAAAGGAAAGGCTTCCCCCAGGCAGGTCTTAAAGGTCAGATGGGCTCACTGTGCCCTGCTGGTCACTAACTTGTATCTGCAGTGCTCATAGTGGTGGCCAGGGTTGAGGTCATCTACCAGGGCCTGAAGTGGATGAGGCCTGGAGAAGGGGCTCCACCTCAGCCTGGGGAGGTCACCTCTTTGCCTGCTCCATAGAGATCTGCTCAGATGTGGAAGTGGGGAGTATGAGGAGGGGGCCAGTGGGCAGGGTTTCTTCAGGAGGATAAGGTGGGTGGGCTGCTTTTCCCCCAGGGTGAGGGCCTGACAGGGCTGAGGACTTCCCATGCCTCCCCTTGCATCCTCATCAAAGCAATGTGTCTGCTGCCATGCTCACTGGACAGATGGAAAGGGCTTCCAGTGAAAACCCAAGAGAAGGAATGCTCGGGAGGCTTCCTGGGCCACCTCAGCAAAGGGAACAGGAAGGGCTGTGACAAAGCAGGGCAGGTTACTTCCATCAGGTGACCTTCTAGAAGTTTCCCGAGCCAGGCGTCATCCCAACATGGGTTATTTTAGATTCTTCTCCTTGAAAACAAATAAACAAACCAGAAAAGGAGAGAGAGAGAGAGAGAGAGAGAGAGAGAGAGAGAGAGAGAGAGAGAGAGAGAGAGAGAGAGAGACAGAGAGAGACAGAGAGAGAGACATGAGAGAGAGAGAGAGAGAGAGAGAGAGAGAGAGAGAGAGAAAGACAGTGACAGAGAGAGACAGAGACAGAGAAATGCATACAAAAATCTCAAGATACTGCTTTGGAGTCCGTGAGAATAGGAGATGGAGATGGAGGAGGTTTGGCCAAATGGCACCCTCCTCCTATTGAGCTGGTCCTGGCAGAGGTCTGTGTCCAAGGAAAGGCTGCAGACTGGTAAATCAGGCCTGGGGCTGCCTAGGAGTCCAGCACAGGAGTTTGTCTATCACAGGAGCCTCCCGCCTGGCAGGTCTGAGCCACCATTCCAGTGCCAAGAGGCGGCTGGTAGGGTCTGAAGGACCCTGGGGTGGGTGGGCGGGGTCCAGGGACCAGAGGTGGCCTGCAATCTGCCTCCTACCAGTTTCCTGGTGGTTCCTGAAGATTTTATGAGTGAAGTTCCTGCCATCTTGTGGCCGAAGCTGGTACTGCCTGAGCCCGAGTCCAGCGGCCTTCCCGGAGCATCACCCATCTGGTGTACCTTGGATGGGAAGGGTAGCTTGTGAAGCAGCAGCAGGACACAGGGAGGGCCCTTCCTCCAGTCCAGCTTTGGAGTCCCTGGGCTGTGACCCTAGGAATGAAGGAGACTAGGGAGGGAGCAGAGGATTCCCCCACACTTTGACCACTGTGGGGTTTTCTAAGTAAGAGCCCCCTGGAAGGGTGAACACCCTGAGCCATGGATGTCAAGCCCTGAATTTGGCCTTTTCTTCTCAACAAGCTCTTTGCGACCTGAAGCAGCGCACACATCCGAGGCTGCTCATTCTTACTGGAAAATTCTATCCTTCTCTCCCGTGTCCTGGAGCCAGCTCTCCACAGGCACAGCTGCACATGCAGATGCCGGGGATAGTTTAAGGGTATGTGTTACACACTCACGACACTGGCCATTCCCCTCGAAATATGGTCACCCCTCACTAATCCAGCCGTACCATCTGTGCGTCCTCCTGATGGTTCTTTTTTTCTGAGAATTCTGGTACCAAATACTGAGATAGCTGGTTCCATCATGGAAACAGAAAAGCCTCCAGGTATTTCAAGGATGGAATTTACAGAGGGAATTCCATGTTCACAGATTCATTAAATGGGCAGTTAGAACAAAGGTTGAACACAGCACTTTGAGTGCTTATCCCTGCACAGGACACCTGTATCATACTTCTGCCTCCCAAGGCTCAGGGATCACGGCAGAAGAGGGGCCAGAACGATTGTAAGAGCCAGAGGTGGTGAGTGACCACAAGGAAACAGTTTCCCAGGCAGCTGATATGAACTCACAGCAATGGTATCAGCTTGCCCAAGTCCCATGCAAGCACAAACCAGAAGAATTAAAAAACAGCGTGGACATTAGGAAGTGAGTAAGAAGCTCCAACTCACCCAAGGAAACTGTTACCAGATGGCTGCTGGGAGTGCAGAGACAGTCTCTGGGACTTTTGGTAGGTTAACCAGGCTCCACTGGATGGACCCATACTTAAGGACATTTGGGGACACCGATTAGACTCTATAGGCCTCTTTGTGTGTGTGTGTCTGTGTGTGTGTGTGGCTGTGTGTGGCTGTGTATGTATGTGTGGGTGTGTGTGTCTGACTGTGTGTGTGTAAGTGTGTATGTGTGTGTTTGTGTGTGTGTCTGTGTGTGTGTGTGTGGCTGTGTGTGTGTATGTGGCTGTGTGTGTGGCTGTGCGTGTGTCTGTGTGTGTGCCTGTATCTGTGTGGCTGTGTGTCTGTGTGGCTGTGTGTGTGTGTCTGTGTATGTGTGTCTGTGTTTGTGTGTATGTGTGTCTGTGGCTGTGTGGTGTGTGTGTGTGTGTGTAACAGTACATTCAGTTGCATAGGGGGCAATAAGGGAAGGTGTGGGTAGAGCAAGGAACTAAATGGCATCAGATTATATTGTATGAAAATCACAAAAATTCAATATAAAAGAAAAAAACCTTTGAAAAACAAAAGGATCTATAAAGCCCCAATTAATTGCAATAAATGTCTTATTAAAGACTCTTGGGGCTGGAGAGGTGGTTCGGTAGTTAAGAGCACTGACTACTCTCACAGAGGGCCCGTGTTTGAATCCCATCACTTACATGGTAGCTAACAACTGTCCGTAACTCCAGTTCCAGGGAATTCAATGCCCTCTTCTAACTTCCTTGGGCAATGCACAACATGGGTACACTTACATTCATGCAGGTAGTATACGCATATACATAAAATTTTTAAAAATAATTAATAAATTTTTTTTTAAAAAAGACCCTCTTCTGAAAGGAAGGAAGGAAGGAAGGAAGGAAGGAAGGGAGAACTCTTGAAATTTTAGGGTGCTAGGGAGTTTCAGGAACCACAGAGTTCATTGCCAGGAAGCTTCCATTGCCTGCAACCCAGGAGTGGGTGACCCTAAGAAGTGGCCGGGAGGCGCTTGCTAGGTCCCAGTTGAGCACTCTGTGGGCACCTGTACCCCATCCTTGTGACTACACCTTGCAAACCACATCCTTTCCTTGTGTACAGTCACCAGATTTCACAGGCTTTCTTCCCGTTAGTGGGACAGAAAGTGGGCACATGGTAGCAGTCGAACTTGGGCAGTGTGGTCTCCATGTGTTCCACCTCTGCAGTCTTGGGCCACCCAAGGATGTCAAGGATAGAGGCACATGACCTCACATGCACTTTTAATATGACTGATGGTAACAGGATTTCCTTCCAGTGGCTGCTGTCAAATTAACATGTGAAATCTATGCACAGAGTATGGCATATGGTAAACCCTCAATACTTGATAGTTTATATGTATATAAAGTCTAAACTGGTTTAGAATGGTTCCTCTCACCCCTACTAGAAAACTGGCTGTCTCTGTGGTGAGTCCAACAGCTGGCCTTAGCAAGGACTCGGCCTCACCATTGTAGCCTACTTGGTTTGGCTTTAGGGTGATGATTCTGCCCTAAAGGACAGAGGACTAAGCAGAGTTCAGGGAAGAGGGGAAAGTTCTCAGAAGCCTCAAACCGTGAGTGAATAATGCTGAAAATGGAGACAGGATTCAACTGGATCCAACTGGATCTGCCACCTGGTAGATCTAAGGGTTCATCTCAGGTGAACCAACAGCAGCCTGGTCAGCATCCCCATGAAAAGTCAGGTTCGGTACTCTGGGGTCGGCCCTGAGGCTGAGTTCCTGTTGCCTTGTGCGCCAATACTCCAGGGCAAACAGCAACAAGAAAGAATCGGGACAGAGCTGAAATCCAAAAGGGAAAAAGACAGGGTTGCCATCCACAGGGAGCGATGTCTGTTTCCTAATCTGTCTCCTGCCCCAAATAGCTCTTCTTCTCCCCGCCCCCAACTTGTGTTGACGTGTTTCCTGCCCAGGCAGCAGATGCCACCAAGAATTAAACTGGGTCATGGAGGGCCCTGATGGGTTGACACAGGTCTGCAGGCCATGTCCTCCCCTGACCTGGTTCCCCAGGCTCCTGGCCTGAAGCTCTGAGCACAGACTCCTATGCATCTGAACAGTGTCCCTAGAACCACAGAGCAGAACCCTCTCTGCAGCCTAGGAGTGGACAGGGCCAGTCCCTGAGCTGGGGACACAGCCCCCGTCAGACTGTACCTTCTGATCTGTCCCTTCCTGGTCCTCTTTCCTCATGGGCACCCAGGGAGCTACATGTACCTGTTATTTCCCTGGAGGAGGTCTGGGGCTACCTTCCAAAGCAGTGCTCCTGTTATCTACCTGGGTAGCTAAGGGACATAGATCATAGATTACACATTCAAAAACTATGACTCATGGACCAGCGAGATGGCCCGGTGAGTAGAGGCACTTGCTGCCACTCCTGATAACCCAAGTTTGATCACCAGACCCCACACGGTAGAAAGAGAAAGCCAACTCCCACAAGTTGCCCTCTGACCTCCACACATGCAGCATAGCACGCACACATGCAGAAATACATAAATGTAATAAAAGAAAAAACAACTTTTGGAAAGCTTACTCACACTTGGTTTTGAGTCCTAGGCCACAAAGGCAGTTCTAGTAAGTACCCACCTAGAAGTATCCACCAGGGAAGGGTAGAGCTAGCATACGACCTAAGTCCTGTGTCCAGCACTGCATCCTAAAGTCCCTCCCTCTCTCTCCACAGGTTCTTTCAAAACATGGCTTTGGCTCCATCACCACTGACATCCGGGAGGGACAGACATTCTACTATGCGGAAGACTACCACCAGCAGTACCTGAGCAAGAACCCAGACGGCTACTGTGGCCTTGGGGGCACCGGAGTCTCCTGTCCAATAAGTGTTAAAAAATAATTTCTCCCCATGTAGTGGGCCCTGGAGGTTCCAGCAAAACCACTGTCACCAAATGGGGCGATGCTTCTGTGATCCATGTGGCTTTCTGAAATGCTCATACCACAAGGGCATTTATAAAATGTGGTTTGCATTGGAGTTTAATTTACAGGAAGTGCAACAGCAAGTTGATTAACTGTAATTTGTCTTCTGATCAGTTAGGGTGGGAATAAAGCATGAAGTTTTCTAGATCGTTTTGGGTCTAAATGCAGATAATGAATGCCCTGTGTCTCCCTGCTTGGGCTCTGGAGGGATATGAAATGTCTTAAGGCTAGGAGACGACTGGCCAGGGCACAGGGATACTGCAACTCCTTGATCTGTGCTGATACACCTCACCTGCCCTCCTGCCCGCCCATGCCTTATCATTTGCCAGTGTTGACAGCCTCGATGAATCAGTCACTGAAATGCTTTGCGCTGCTGCCCTAGACATATGTAAGGGGTCTCTCTCCCTACTGCATCCTCTTTGTGCAGAGAGAAGATGTGAGTTAACTTAATGAATTCTAACTCCATGCTTCCATTTATGAGAAAGCTTATTCTAATAAAAAATCTGCAGTTCAATAATACTAAGTGCCTGGTGTATTGTATCTTGACCTTTTTTCAGAAGGGTATTTGCAAGTGCTGCAAAACAAATTTAAGAGCTCAGGAGGCAAAAAGCCTTGTGATCACTTTCCCTCAAATGGGATATATTATGATTAAAATTTGGGGGAAGTGTGCACACTTCTGGCTCTCTGAGACTTTAATAATAATAATGATTTTCCAATTGTCTGTCACATGTCACGCCAAGGAAAGTTGTATATAGAACAGACACTTTTAGTCCTGGACCCACAGAATCTTCTATTCAAGACAAGGGATTGGGGCTGGAAACCATAACCATTTAAACAAATGAATGGGGAAACTGACTTTAGGTCTTTGGTGCATGACTGGACAATCAGCAGGAAGAGAAAGGTTCTGGAACTGTGTGTAGGCTCAGATAGGGAGGTCAGGAAAGTCCCTGTGAGGTGGTAAACTTGGAGCAGAATTATCTACCAGCCAATCCCTTGTCCTGCCTGCTTGTCCTGACTGGCTTGTTTCTTCCTATAGAAACCGCAATAAAGGCTCTTGTTCTCCCTTTTCCCTCTGCCTCAGGACAGGTCATGTCTCCAGGTGGTCAAGGCCCCTCTAGAACCTCAGATAGGGAGGTCAGGAAAGTCCCTGTGAGGTGGTAAACTTGGAGCAGAATTATCTCCCAGCCAATCCCTTGTCCTGCCTGCTTGTCCTGACTGGCTTGTTTCTTCCTATAGAAACCGCAATAAAGGCTCTTGTTCTCCCTTTGCCCTCTGCCTCAGGACAGGTCGTGTCTCCAGGTGGTCATGGCCCCTCTAGAACCCACAAGCAATAAGTTGTCATGTTTTTTTTGTGTTGTGTTTGGTTTTTTTTAGATAGGATCTCAATATGTAGCCCTGGCAGGCTGGGACTCACTAGATTGGGGTGGTCTCAATCTCACAGAGATTCTCCTGCCTCTGCCTCCAGAGCACTGGGATTAAAGGTGTGTGCCACTAAGGCCAGCTAACAAGCTGTCATTTTTAATGGCAGCCATCTCTAAGGCTGTTGACTTTATTATACCTAATTAATAAAACCTAAGCCAGCACTCAGGAGGCAGAAGCAGGTGGATCTCTGTGAGATTGAGGCCAGCCTGATCTACATAGTGCGTTCCAGGCCAGTTGGGGCTAGAGGAAGATCCTGTCTCAAAAAAAATTGAAAATAAAACCTATGAAAACAGAATTGAATGCTGTCCACCCACAAGCACAATAACTAAGCAGATTTATTTAATCTCCCTCAATGGCATTTTCTAATTTCCAGTGTCCAGATCTTGTGTAACTTTTGTTGACTAGGTCCCTAAGCATTCAGACTTTATGGAATTGGTATATTGTTTTCCGGGTTCAGTTTCTAACTGTCCATTGCTAACTTACACAGCTGATTTCTGCGTGTTGGTGCAGTATAGTGCCCACCAGGCTAAACTTGCCCATTAGCGTTAGTCTCTTTTTGTGGCTTCCATAGGCTCAAGAACTCATCCGTAAGTGAGCTTTCTCCAGCTTCAGCCTCCCTCCCTGCCTTCTTCCTGTGCTGTACCTCAGTAGGTGTTGAAAACTACGGACTTCTCCCTGAGGCATCCCACAGACTTTAATATGTTGTGTTTTCATGTCCGCTTAGTTCAAAACACTTTTTCAGTTTTTATTCTGAGATCTTCCTTGACTTGTGGGTTATTTTGAATATATTGTTTAACTTCCAAATATTTTGGAGAGCTGTTATCTATTTCTAATTTATGAGATCTTCCTTGACTTGTGGGTTATTTTGAATATATTGTTTAACTTCCAAATATTTTGGAGAGCTGTTATCTATTTCTAATCTAATTCTATCATTGTTAAAAACTAAAACAAAAACAAAAACAAACGCTGCATGTCTTGAAGACTTTCAAATGAACTGAGCCTTCTTTAATGAGCCATGTTGAAATCTTCAGTTGTAATTGCGGGTATGTTTTTTCATATATCTTCACTGAGTTTTGCTTATAAATTTGGAGCTTCTGTCACTAGTGTGTAAACATTTTAGGTTTTCACATTGTCTTGATGGAACGACCCTCTTCAACCCTGGTAATGTTTTTTCTTGTCAAGTCCCCTCTGTTTTATTTTAAAATATAATTCCTGAGTCCTTTAGTATTTCAGGTGATTAGTCTCCGTTGTCAACCTGACCTGATGTGGAATCCATTAAGAGGCACACTTCTGGGCCCACCTGTGAGGGATTTCCTTCATTAGGTTAATTAAAGCAAGAAGACGTACCTTAAATGTGGGCAGCACCTTCCTACCACCATCCGGATGTAGGGAGAACCGAGGGGAAAGCTTTTCGCCTGCTTCCCTTCCTGTCTTGCTGATGAGTTCATCTACCTTGTGGATGACTTCCTTTGCTGACATACTCAGAACCCAGTTTCTTCAGCCTTCCAACACAGACTGAAGACCAGCAGCTCTCCAGGAATCCTCCAGGCATTCAGCACCAGCTGCTGAGGCATCCAGCCTCATGGACTGACATCTCAGCCTCTCCAGTGTAAGACAGCCATTGTTGGAATACCCAGACCCTCTCATGTAAGTAAACCTAAGAAATTCCCTTTAGTATGTAATCTCTGTGTCAGTATTATCCCTCTAGAGTCCTAAACAACAGGACATGGAACTTCCCATCTTTTACACTTAACAAGCTTGCATCTTGAGGTTTGCAACACATAATTGAGCTTCTTTTTTTTCCCATCGAGCTCCCTCTTCTAATTGGGTAACTTAGACTCTTTACATTTGATGCAATGACTTTGGAGGTGAGGTTTGAGTCTTCTGTATGCTGTTTTCCTCTTACCTTTCTCTGTTTACCTCTCAAGGGTTTTCTCCTTCTCTGTGCGACAGTGACTAACTGCTCTATCCTGTCTCCTCTGTGGGCCTTTTGGCTGATTTCTTTGCTGTGTATTTTGGCGCTCACTGAAGTTAGTATACCTTTAATCTCTCGTTATCTACTTGCCTGGGACTGCCTCATGTGCATTGTAATCTCCTAAAATAACCCTCCTCCCATTTCTCCTCCTGGTCACTGGGCATTTGTACCATGTATTTTATGCTGTCATAATGTATTGTTAATTGCTTTAAATTGCAATTTTTTATAGACGAGATTAAGAAAAATGAACATTTACCTACATGGCTCACATAGCCAAGTGCTCTTCCTTCCTTTGGTTCCTATTTCCTTTTACTTGGAGGGTTTGATACTTCCTGTAGCGTAGTTTTGTTACCAGTATATTCTTTTGCTGGACATAGTGGTGCACACCGTTAATCCTAGCCCTCAGGAGGCAGAGGTAGGTGAATCTCTGTGGGTTTCAGGCCAGCCTGGTCTATTTTGCAAGTTCCAGGCTAGCTTTTTTCCTGGTCTTTTCTTCTTTTTTGGCATGCAGTTTCCATTGGGAATTCTGCTGTTATTCTTACCTCTGTTCCTCTACATGCAATGTATAGATACTTTTCACCTACCTGTGGCATTTCTGATTTTTCTCTTAAGTGATTTGATCATACTGGGTACAGCTGTGTTGCCAGAAAGCAACCCATTCAAGCCCTAAGCCCTCAGGGGAACCTGTGAATGTGGCCTTATTTAGAAGTAGGATTGTTGTGGGTATAATCACATTAAGATGAGGTTATTCAGGATTAGAATGGGCTGTACTGCAGTGACTGGTGCCCTTGGACACTGGGACACACACACACAGGCAAATGTCACATAGAGACAGTGCCATGTTAAAATGGAGATAGAATTTAAAATATTTTATTATTTTTATTTTATGTGTGTGAGTGTATTGCCTGAATGTAAGTGCATCTGTGTCATGCAATGCCCACAGAGGCCAGGAGAGGGCGTCAGATCCCCTGGAACTGGAGTTGTGGATGATTGTTAGTCACCATGTGGATGCTGGGAATCAAATCTGGATCCTCTGCAAGAGCAGCCAGTGTTCCTAACCACTGAGCCATCTTTCCAGCCCCAGAGATAGAGTATAGAATAATGCAGCTACAAGCCAAGGATTGCTGACCATCATGAAAGGTTATGAAGAACTGTAAAAAGATGCTTCCTGAAGAGCATGACTCTGGAGACTTCCTGGTTGTGGGCTTTCAGCCTCCAGAGCTGTGGGAGAATAAATGTGTTACTGCGAGCTTCTGGTTTACAGTGTCTTGTTACAGCAGTCCGCAGAAACTAATCATGACGTAACTTGGTGTCATATTCGTTCAGGTGCTGGATTTTCCTGAATCTGTGTGCTCATGGTGTTTATGAAGGGCTTCTCACCACTGAGTCCTCAGTCTTTCCCCCTTTCTTCAGGACCCCAACTTAATGTCCCATTGATACTTGACACTTGCAGAACTTTCATTGTAAGCAAGAAAAGATCAAATAAGTTTTGGTCTGGTTTGGTTTGGTCTTTTTGAGACAGGGTCTCCCTGTATCCTCAGCTGGCCTGTAATTTGCTATGTAGACCAGTCTGGCCTCGATCTCACAGAGATCTGCCTGCCTCTGCCTCCTGCGTGCTGGAACTAAAGGCATGTGCCACCACACCTGGCTTTTGTTGTCTGTGTACATGTACATTTGTGTATCTGTATTCACATGTACTTGGGCAGATGTGTGTATGGGTGCATGTGCACATGCGTGTACATGTGTGCAGAAGACTGAAGTTCTTGTTGGGAGTCCTCCTCAGTTACTCTTCACTTTATATATTGAACAGAGCATCTCATCTGAACCCAGAGCCTGTCCGTTTTGCTCTTCTAGCCATATACCTTGCTCCAGGATCCCCCATTTCTGCCTCCTGTATGTCAGAGGCACAGACAACCACTGTGCCCACCTGGCATTTCCATGGGTGTTGGGGGTCTGAGTTCTGGTCCTTATGTTTGCCTGGCAGGCAGTTCACCTGCTGAGCCACCCCCAACCTTCCTCATTGATTCGTCAGTCTTTTTCTTGTTGTTCTATCTCTGAGTTTTATTTTGGATAGTTTCAATTATTCTATTCCTGTGCTTTCAAGTTCACCCATCTATTCTTT